TGTACATGTAATTAGAAAAAATTTGATTAAATAAAAAGGTTTAAATATACATATTTTAGATGAAAGATAAGTATATTTGTAAATTAACATTCGAATAGTGTATGTACTAATATTATAAGAAATTCGAGAGGAAAAGGGAGAAAAGTTGTTATCATTTTTAATCACAGCATAATATTTAAAATGACGATTTAAATATTATTAATTTTAAGATAGAAAGTTAGTAGGACACATATATATATTAATTATCTATGTGTTTAATACACAAAAGAATTAACAAATTATTAAATTATATTATACAATAGATATAATGTCTACATTTATACAATAGATATAATGTCTACATGTGTACAATATATGCATGCATGCACTTCTGTATGTTTATTTTGTAATATGAACATGTATTAAGCATGTGTGAATGTGCACGCAAGAAAAATTCAAATTTGTGTAAACAAATTTGTATAATTACGTATATATAAGTATAGCTATATAAGATAGATATCTTTATGTGAAATGAATTCAGAGCTGTTTACAAAGACAGAATGTTTTTAATATATAAACCATCTTAATATGTAAAATACAATTACGCAAGATATCTTTCTATATAACAAAGTATAATGCAAAAATCGAAAAATATAAAATTTATATCAAGTAACAATATAAATACATATAAATACATATATATGTACATATATATATATATATATATATATATTTATATATTTATATATTTAGGTGAAAGTGCTAATCTTACTAAACAAGTTGCTTGATTCACTTAAATACAATGAACTTGATTCTAATGAACACGATCTTACAAAGAGTTTGAGAATGGAGGCTGCGAAATGGGCATGTAATCTTGATGGTCGCATATGCATAGAAACAGCCCAACATAAATTAAATCGATATCTCGAAGATCCCGAAAACAACACGTAATTTTTTTTGTATATTCTCGGTTATTTTAATTTGATTGTTTTGTAGATACATGTGCAATGTTTATTACATTATTTGATCAAAATTTAAATTTATTATGTTATGTTATAAAATAATAATTTGTTAAATTATTTAATCAAAATATAAGATTAATATGAGCAAAACTTTTATATGAGAATTTTGAAATCTTTTATTAAATCTCGTAGGATTTTGCCATGGTGGGAAGAATGGACATACTGTCAAGGTTTAAAAATATTATACTATTCTCTTGACATTGAAGATTCTCCTACCAATAAAGAGTCTCCTTGGTGGAGAGTATATCATCTGGGAAAAGAAAAATTTAAATCTAAACTTTTAAAATTCCTCTCTTGCCCTGAGGATTCAAAATTTATCAAACCATATCTTAATCTAATAAAAAATGACAGTACAACATCGATTATATTTTTAAAAGATTTTTCCGATAAAGATTATATTAATTATTTTCTTTTTACTATCGCGAAGCATGCAAAGAATCCTGTAGTACTCGACTTCATATTAAAAGAACTTGAGAACATAAGACCTAGGTAATACAGCTTCCTTTGTAATATATATCTATCATTCAACAATTTATGTATGTATCAATAAATTTATTATTTTACTGTTATAGACAAATCAGCGAGTATGCAACATTAACTGTAATTATTAATCATGTGTATTCCACAAATCAACTCGAAAGGGTAAAAATTGCATGTGCTTATGCATATATATATATATGTGTGTGTGTGTGTGTGTGTGTGTGTGTGTGTGTGTGTGTGTGTGTGTGTGTGTGTGTGTGTGTGTGTGTGTGTGGTGTGTAAAATAAATAACCATGATGCGACATCAAATATTGCTGTTTAATATCATCAAAATAATCTGTTTTAGATAAACGACTTCTTCACAAATAAATTTTTTAACGTAACGCAAGTTCAATTAAATGAATGTAAGAAGTTACCGCCTTTAAAGGAAAGATATATGAAAATAAAGGTAAATTTTATGAATATTATTATACTAATATTTCATTTATTAATCATTAATTTTTTGTTTTCATGCAGAATGTATTAATGTTACAGTATCCCAAAGTAAGCAAAAATTAATGTCATTTAATTTTTTTTATAAAATAAGCATAGTTTTATTTCTAATTTTCGAAAATATATTATTTTGGAAATATGTAATTTTTAATGAATGAGAAAGTGAAGAAGAGTGTGCGAGCAAGCAAAAGCAAAAGAGAAAGAGAATTTCTTTACTTGGAAATTTTAGTGAAAATCGATTTATATAAATTTTAGAAAGAGAATTTACAAGCTTCAACATATTATATTTAAATCTTAGTCAGTCTAGATGTTTAGCTTTTAGTTAAATAAATAAATTTAAATGTTTTTCAATATGATTGAGAAAATATTACGTAATGTGATTCGCACTTTAATATTACGAGCCACTTGTTTACTAAAATAAAAATTTAATAAAGATGGATAAGTTAAGAAGAATTAATGCACTTGCTAGATATAATAATTTTAATATTATAATATGATAATGATATTATCTTTGTGACAGCTGCAGCTCATGTAAATTTCTAATTTTATTTTTAAAATCTCCAATTCTAAATTTTGATTTTTATTTGTTGAAAGTTATTTGTACAGTATTATTTATAAGCATTCCTTGCAAACAAAAGAATTGTTAAGTAAAATATAGTGCAACACAATGCATATAATATAATAGAACACATAGTACAATAGAAGAATGATTTTATTCTCATTTCAGCAAATTTGTAATTTTCATAATCCATAATTATTATTTATTCCTATTATATTTAAGATTATTATTATTATTATATGTATTATATATATGTATTAAATGTATTAATATTATATATATATATATATATATATATATATATATATATATATAGACACACACACATACACAAGATAATATTTAATATAATATTTAATATAATATTTATTAATAATTATTGGCTATTTACGCTAATACTTAATACCGATATAATCTGTTTTAGACAAGCATCTTAACACAATCAGCAGTATATTTCAGATGTATGCAGCAACATACTTCAAATATTGAAAGCAAGATACAAATGCAATATTTTTCAAATATTGAAAGCAAGATACAAATGCGCTTTTTCGAAATCAAAAGTCAACAGAATTACTTTCAAAATTTTGTGAAATATTCAGAGGGAGAAACGTTTTTTCAAAAAAGTAACGCGTCAAAAGAGTTGGTACCGTTTTGGTTATGCTTAGTTTTTGGTTATACATCGTCATGCGAGTAACTCGTTACCGTTACCATTACTAAGAAAGTAACGATTCGTTATTTTTTCTTTACTTTTTATAATACAAAAATTAAATTAATTTATTTTAAAATATAATTATTACTTTTATATATTTGAAAATTATAAATTAATCCATCATTGATGTTCTTCATATTCAATTTTTCATTTATTGTAATTTAGAAATTTTAGATTTATGAATACAGAGAAAACATCATGCATGTATATAATTTTCTAAAATATTTATAAACTGTTTTGTAATAGGCATAGGTTTTTCAATTACTAAGGGGATACTATCCAGGATTACAGAATTAAAGTAACGATAAAAGTAACGGTTAAATTCGTTACCGTTACTGTAAAAATGTAACGACGTTACCGTTATCGTTACAGATAGAAAAAAGTAACGATCGTTACCGAAAAAAAAATAACGGTAACGGTAACGATATTATAAGTAACGCGTTAACTCTTTGCAACTGTGCAAATATCAACAATAACCGTTTAATAAAAGTAACAATTGTGACACGAATACATCTATATATCTTTGTTACAAATAGCTTTTTATAATGTTTAGTTTTCGATTTATTATTTATGCTTATGTGCGTTAATAATATATAATTAAATACACGTGCATTTACAAAGATACTTTGTGGCCTGCATTTAACCGGTATTTTCATTTCTTTATTAACATGAAATAACGCAAAATGTTAATTATCGACAAAGAAAAATAAGAGAAGGAGAAGACCATTGTATAATGGACGAAGGAGATTTTGTCATTTTTATCCGTACTTTTATTCCATAAACAAATTTTTATCAGAGAACGCAAACAAAAAAATGTATGGATAAATAAATGTGCACTTGAATAATAAATGTAAAAAAATATACAAAACGCATAAATATATATAATATATTTTTATATTATAAAAGTTGTTATAATTAAAAAAAATTCTTGCGAGACTCGAACCCGCAACGTTGGAAATATAAATTCTAGTACTCTACTGCTACGCGCTGTTCGATTTGAGGTCTTACTTTGCTTATACTAAACTGAAATTTTTTAATGTTTTTATTTTGTAAACGGTAGAGAAACGCGTTTTATCCGTTTACAGGTATTCATTTTATATGCTACCCAAACGATACACAGAGTTTCGGCGAAATCGATTGATATCACACTGTGACCTCCCCTTGTCAGTCTTCTCTCTGATATTAATTATTAATATATTTAATAATATAATATATTATTAACATTCTATTTCCTTTTTTATTTCTATTCCGGACATCCATTTAAAATGATCGATTTCCTTTATTCTGCATTAAATTATGTAATATAATTATATATATATATATATATATATATATATATATATATGTGTGTATATATTTAATGTAATTATTTTTGTTATACATAATTACATATTTTGTAATGTATTTATGCAATTGCAAGTTAATTGTAATTTACTATAGATATATAAATTATAATTATGTAATATGTAATTATATATAATGCATGTTTTATATACGTATTATATTTTCTCTTTAGGAAACTGTTGGAAACTCTGCATTAAAATAAAATAAAAATAAAACAAAAAAGTACTTAAGATTCCGTTCGGCTAATGAAATGGTCATATATTTTCAAACTTAACAATAAGACTGTAAATATCGGGCGTAGTTACTGATAGGGTTACTCATGCTAAATAGATCGAAGGGAGTCAGACTAAGAGAGATATCAAAACTATAAAAATGGATTATATTCACATTTATAAATATCATACATATCAATTTAACTTTTATCACTTATAGTTCATTTTAAATCAACAAATATAACGTTTCTGTACTTTATAAAAAATTATCTTACACACAAATTACAACAAATTATAACAAATTAAAATTAAACTTTTCTTATTGATTAACAATTTAAATGTACAAAGAACCATCAGCAGGACCCAAATATCTCATAGAAATTAGTATTACGTCGATTAAGGTCCATACACCCAGTCCACCAAAACTAAAAAGCTTGCCAATACCTTCTTGCCAGTGTCCTAAATAAAACCTATAATAAAACATTTAATAAATATTATATTAATAAATTGTAATTAATTGATTATCTATCTATTTTAGATAGTACTCTTTTGCAAAATCACCTGTCAGCACCAAATCCTCCAAGAGTAATGCTCAATATCAGAGCTGTAGACCATCGATATCCAACTGTCCAATTGCAAGGCAAGTTTTTCATAAACTTTCGTCTGCCCAGGCACAATACATCATCATTTACTGTACAATTTGTTCTACAATAAGAATATTATCTGTTAATATTATTGTAATCAATATAATAGAACTTATGATTAGCACACACCTATAATATTGCTGTGGAGATGCTACTGAGCTACAGGAATTTTTCTGATGACACTGATGTTCCCAGTGATCAGTTTGATAACAATATCGACACATATATTTCTTTTGGAAAGTTTTCTTTCCCTGTCAAAAAATAAAGCATTTATAATTTAATATATAAACCTATTATATCTCCATATGTTATATAATTCTAAACTTCTTCAATTAAAAACAAATTTCACATACTATGCAATCAACATGTTCCATAACAGAACACTGTGCATCATAAACAGCACCATATACACAACTATAATTAAAAATGCATTTTAGACATTCTCCGCTCAGTTTAATACAAGGTATCCCACTTGGACCACACAAACCAGTTATTTCCTCCTGCAATTTAATAATTCAATTTATATCGCTATACAAATCATCAATACTATCATCACGCAATACATCAATAGGAATTGAAAAGTTTCACCTTTTTGCTACTGTAGGCTGGTGTAGTATTTACATTAGCTTCTTTTTGTGTAAAGGCGCTTAGAGTATCTGTAACAATTCGCATTAACTATTAGTATACATGTATGTGTACAAAAAAATATATATTTTAACACTCCTACATTAATATATTTGACAAATCTCTAATAACTTTTATATTCAGACTGCCTAAATTTTATTAAAATTCATGTGAGAGTTTGTTGTCACTTTATATAATAATAATTGACAAGTTTGCTCACCATGACCTGTATGTGTTTCCTCGGCGGAGGTTGACAGAAGCGCTATAAAGAGGAATATCACGTTCCTCGAATTGATCCGAACGACGCGCATCCTGCGCAAGGATTCGTCTCACCAGGTGCCGGATATACCACTCGTCAAAAAAAACTCGCTACATCAATTTATATCTCAGTTTTCGTGTTTATCCATACTAAATACATGAAGTCAAGAAAAGCGATAGCGTCGAATATATTTGGCGTCAATTATCCTCGATACATTTGACAGGGAGGGAGTGTGTCGAAGTCATCTGTCTCATCGCGATCGAACACAATTTTATTGTTACTATTTTTTCGTATCGCTCTGCATAAAATCACCTACAAATGCAAGTACAAAATGCGGAAATATGTATGTATGTACAATATCTATGAAACGTGTGCTAATAGGAGAAACAACATGGTGTAACCAATTGGATTCGTTACTTCGTTTATCCTATATATACATATATTTAGCTTCATCTCTTCTGCCCCGTACCTTGTTTGTATAAATTCCTTCAGATTTTTAATCATGATCTGGAAGAGTGATATTAATAATATACCGAAATATATCGAGAAATACATGATAAATGTTATGATATGAATAAGTGTCCAACACGCTTCTACATCAGATACATCACGACAGAATTTACGAAGTAATCGCTCTTTGAAAGTCACATCGATAAATAAAACAGAACAAGATAATAAAAAATAATAGACGAATACTAAAGAGATAAAAGAAAAAAAAAAGAAAAAAAATCGAGCGATAGTTAAGTTCGCGTATACACTCGTTTCCGACAATCAGCTGACTTCCGGTACTAATACAAGACGTTAGAATGTTAGCAAGGTGTTTCGGTAATTTCGCTTGACGGAGAAGTGTTTTTTTTCCGAGAAAAGAAAATACATCGTTCTTTTGCGAAACTCGCGTAAGTGATGCGCTTTTCCCCTTCTGTTTAGCCTAGTTATGGCCGGAAGAAAGTGACGTAAATCTCCGCCTAACCACGCAGCTGAGACATATTTTTTTCCAAAGCTTTGCAATTTCGAAATAAACATCATTGAGTTTCTATCGTCATCGTTACTCGATGTTTAGCGGGTAATTTTGTATCGCGTCACATGGTAAGCGCGATTTTATGACAATCAATAAGAAGAATAAGAGATTTCCTTCATTGTTATAAAAATATCGTTGAGAATATCTTCCTATGATTGTGTGTTCGTTTGTAGGATGCTGTGTAATGCAATTGCCGCTGGTCTCATCGTCGAGAGTAATATGAATTCAGAGGAGAACGATGGAAATAATCAGGGTAAAGTGGAGGTCAAAATGGATGGAATTGGTTTAAAGAATGATAATCAATCCATGGATCAAGGCGCTGTGACGTCCAAAGTACAGCTAGAAAATGGAGCTGCTGTAGAAGAGTTGAAGTTGAATAACAACAGCAATGACATCAAGCTTGTGTTACCATCTGTCAAGACTTCCGTATTTTCCAATGGAACAAAAACCATACAAGCTCCTATATCTGATTGTGCCAACTCCTTGGAACAGAATGTTTCTCAAGATATGTCAAATGTGAACATATCTTCCACGTTTACGAGCACCGCTAATATCAAGCCTCAGGCTGCAAACACCAATGCTATCAATTGTCAATTGAAGCTTAAGACTGTCACGAATGCCAGCACATTGAATCTGCCTAAGTCTCAAATGCACTTAAATTTATCTTCCACTCACGTGAATATGCATCTCAATCATAATTCATCGGCTGTTCTTAATTCTACTACAACTACCAGTGCTATGTTACATTCAAGTGTATCTATATTAAATGCACCATTAATGCCTCCTAATTTATCAACAAGTAAACCAAATGATGACATAGACATGAAAAACAATGTGGATTATGCATCTGCCATAGAGAAATGTCCTTCTAAAGTTTCTTGTAGTTCAGATTCTAGTCCAGAGGCTGACTCTTCTTGGACATCAAAGTCCTATGGATCCAAACGTGTACTGAATAATATAGGTGGTAGTATAGGTTCAACGAGTCAAGGAACTTGTTGTTTTTTAAGACCTAATATCAATGGCAGCAGAGAAGTTGCTGGACCTAGTGGAATACAGAGAGTAAGTTTTTATATCGTGAATTGTATAGCTGAGTATTTATATTGCATACTTAGAATTTAAATTTATCATATTTTTAGGCTTCACAGAGAGAACAAGTGGAACGAATGGATTCTAGTTCTGGAAACGAAGGGGATATGTCTGATGGAGAAGACTATTGTATCTATACCTATAAGGGAAACGATGATATAATCCATTTAGATCAACAGGAAGAATTACACCAGGGTCATGCAGAAAACCATGAAGCAGAAGGACAAAATCATAGTGGTAGATCGAGTCCAGAAATGGATTTTCTGGAAATGGATTTTGATCCTGGGCCTTCTTGTGAACAGGCAAGTTATACGCTGTAATATGAGGTTGAATATAGTCAGATCAGATAGTAATGTTTTTTCCTTCTTCAGGATACTGGAGATAGCGATTTGGCCTCTATAAATGAAGACATACAGAACATAGCATTAGATAATATAGAATCAGATCCTGTATTAAATGATCTAAGTAGTGGAAAAGTTGTATCTAGACAAGGATTGTTGGCTATACCACAAACTTCAAAACAAAATACACAGAATGTTAATCATACAAATTTCCAGCAATGTGCAAATAATCAATCATCAATAGAACAGAGCACGACGAAGCCAACTTATTCTGCTCCATGGATGCCTAGTACTAGTACTGGAACTGGAACTGGTGTGATCTCTTGTTATCTTATTCTGCAATACAAGTTATAATTGTATTATTATATGTTTTACACATCAATACATGTTCAATTTACAGGAAGATGGGATAGTGCGGCACTTTATCGTAACACGGGTTGTCCGTTACGCGAATCTTATGGTTATCACAACACGAGTGGTGACCTTATTTCACCTGGCGATAATAGAGATTCTGATTCTGAATTATGGGTTGAGCCTTCGTCAACGTCTGTCCCGGACAATTCTACTTTGAACGCCAGAAAAGTTAATCTTAGTTCAACACTTTACCATAGAATGATGGCTAAAAAACTAATGCTCAATAAGCAAGCAGCATTTAATCAAAGTGGTGATTCTAATCTGGTTAATATATATATTATTAAAGATAATAGATAGATTTAATTGTTAAACGATATACATATTATTAATTTTTAAACAATATTTTAATATAGGAAAATGAACTGTGTAATGAACGTTTGGATGGATTACCACCAGTAGAAAAGGTAATGTTGTGGAGTGAGCAAGAAGCTACAATGAAACAAGTAACACAAATTGGTACCTCTGCCTGTGGTGCTACATCTGCAATTAATGCTTTGGTACATATTGCAATATATGCAAAAATTATAAAGAATATGTAAATTTCTACAATAGTTCAATCACGCGCATGTATCTGTTTTTAGCTGGCCTTAAATGTATCATTTTCCTTGGAAGTATTAGTAAAAGGTGTAAATACGAGATTGAGAGAACTGGGTATGCCGCTACCGAGGTACCTTGTCAGTCGATCATTAGCAGGGGCAACTCATAAAGATATAGCACGAGGAATATCGCTCTCCACAAATGGCGCAGCTATAACAAAGTTTTTTGCATTTTATCCAGAGAGAAAGGTGTCATTATCTCATTGGTTACATTATTGGATTTCTAGAGGTAAGAAATTAGAAATATTAGAAAAGAAATTAAGAAATTTTTAAATATATTATTTCTAAAGAAATAATAAATATGATTTAAGTAGTAGACATATTTTATCAAATAAATCTCAAATATTTTATTTGTATATTTCAGGTGCTGCACCAATTGCAACATTGAACTTACAACATTGTGGAGAAGGTTGTGACATACCAGATGCATGGCATCATCAAATGATATTTGGCGTAGGACAGGCTGGCATATATTTAACAAATCCTCTGGAATGTTTACCTGAACAGGTTCGTATAATCGACTGATTGACGTAAATAAATTTATTGTACAAGTTGTTGTTAGCCATAGCATTCAATTAAAATCTTATTTTTGTATGATTTAATATGATTTTAGCTCGTATGGCATCAATTAGTTAGTCCCAGTATTCTGTTAATACGAAAAACAGATGTTTTAGCACATTGGAACGCAAATACAGATCTAACATCACTTGCAACAATGGACCAGAAGTGGCGAAAACTTAATGTTCTTGGTATATTATATTTTTTTCATATATACTGTTTTTATATTCATATTGATAATTTCATTATGATAATTTTAATAAAACATTCTTTACAACAGGGCAAGTTGTAAATATGGTGCGTGAATCAATGAGCCGAAGACAACAACCTAATAATACGACTACTGGAATGACTCACATTCGCATTCCAGCATCTTATCAAGCAGGCATTACGTTGGTTATGTGTGCAGATTCCGCTGCAGCCACCGAATTATTACATGCAGAACAACTACCACTACTCTAGTCCTATTGATCAAAATTAATAAAACGCGGACTGGCCCATTTGATTTATAATACATTTTATTAGCAGGCTAGTCCACATAAAATGCCCTTATTCATAGTTCATTTATGTACTATATAAAAACCAACAGGATAGAAATAATTTACATTTTTGACACCGAACGCGTTTGTATACAAAGAGAATATTATTGATTAAAATATATTTCAATATAATAATTTCTGTTTTATATGCAATTATATTAATTGTTTGTATTAAATATAAGCTATAAAGATTAAATTTTCATGTACAATACTTTATGTAGTAGCAAGCAGGTTTATATTGACAAATCGTGCAGATTATACATATTATTTCTACAAAGAAAAAAGTGATATAAGTAATTTGATTTTTCATTGCTCATCTTATTCTTTTTTTTCTATTCCTTATTTTCTTTTCTTTTTCTTAATAAAAATGTATATATATAATCAGTAGTGACTAATGAACTACTATAATATATATAAATTTATAACAAAGTGTCTTGGTAATTTTGAAACAAAAGACCGTAATGTTTCATATATATATAAATTTTAATAGAGAACCTTATTACACTTATTCTATGTCGAAATCGCGAAGAAGTGTTCGTCTTAGATATGTTGACGAAAGAATAATTTTGTGCAGATGTGTAAGACATAAATATTGAGTTTTATGTACACAGTGTATAATCCAGTGTAACATCTCCAATGCTCATTTTTAGAGACGTTATTTTTTTTACAAGTCCGACATACTAAAATTATAAAAATTTTTGTTATATAAAGAGTTAATATATAACTGTATGGTTTTTATATTTATTTTTAAAGAATCTCTTACCTTTCTATAAAAGGTGCACGCATACTTGTTGTAATAGGAGTTGGATTAGCTTCATTAAGCTTAAAAACGCTCTCAATACGCGCAATTTCTGTTGAAGTGGTATCCATGCCACAGAAAGCAGCCCAATCATTTACCACCATACCAGCTGCAATTACATTACTGCCTCTGTTCACTGTTCCAGTCTAAAATACAATTTTCAGTTAAAAACAAAAAAAAATCACGAATTTTTCCTGTTTATCTTACCGCGAGTGGTACTTGTAAAAGAGAGGATAATTCATCTTGTTCCTGTATTGACATATTTGGATGCACCAAACCACCTTGATTGGATAAAATGGAATATGAGCCAACAAGAACATTACTTGCAACAGTTTGTCTAAATACTTCCACATTCAAAGTATCAGCTAAAATTTCTTCAGTTTCCTATACAGTTAAAATTGCAAAGATATATTTATTTTAAGTTCAAAAAGTTTTCTATTCAATTACAGTAGAAAGTATATCAAAGATTTACTTTATCCAAATCTGGATGAACTAAGGCGACGTAATCATTACATGCTATAACATTGCCGAGAGCAGATAGCCTTTCTTCTACTCTTTGTACTTTCACATTATCTGGTAATGAATTTCGAATATGTTGCAATTCTGTATCTGTTGTTGTATTTGGCACTAATAATCCATTTTTATTTCCTGCAATATAAGTATTTATAAATAATATGTACATATACATATAGTAGATAAGTATATAAGTAGATAAATATTTATATAAGAAATTTTTAACACATTATTTGACACATTTTCAAGAAATATTATATTTTAATAGTACATTTTCACAATGTATAAAGAAATGAGGGTAAGAATTAAGTAGTAATTTATATTTACACCAAGTAATTTTGAAGAGATCATGCTTTAAGAACTACATAGAAAATTAAAAAAAAATCATTTTTTTCAAGTTTTTAAATATTTAATTATTTATATTCCATTTCTATGCTATATTATATGTGACATCCATTGTTGTCAATATAATAATTTTGATTCTGATAAAAATTATTTTCTCTATATACTTTGATAATCCTAATATCCACATGATGATAAATATCATTTTTTAATATACTTGCCAACGCACAGTCGACCTATGATACGACATCCACCTACTGCTACGTGAATAACAGGAATTGTCTCTGCTAATTCTGCTTCAAATACACTGCAATTTTATTAATAATATAAAATTGTAACAATTATATGATACAAGTTATCAGTAACTAATATTATATTGTTTTCTATTACAATACAACAAAGTTTAATATTTGTAATTGATCTCATTTTGCGTAATAGTGCGTAATTATATATATTTTACGTTTTAAGGTTATGTATCAAAATTGTATAACTTAATATTGACGAACTCTGTCTAGATATGTTTTATATACATGATATTAATAAAATAAAATCAAAATTAAAAAATACATATATACAAGAATGACGATTTCACATAATTGCGTTATGAATGACGTCACTCTCACCTGTAAAAGTTTTCGGAACCGCCAATTGCTACCAAGCAATACGAGTTTGTCAATTTTGAGAAGACGCCAATCTCGTTATTGTTCTCGAATTGTACGCGCACTGCCATGATTATACCGCTATTACATCAGCGTACAACAAATTAAAATCTCGAAAACGTTTACCTTCGGTAAATTCGTAAACGCTAACCTCGAAAATTTACACGTACCGCTGCTCCTATCGCGAAACACGAGGCGTGGGATGACGTCCGGACGCAATGAATGAAGTTTACGGAGTTACTCTCGAACGAAGGTGCGTTCGAAAGTTTTACGCGGCGTAGGATAATATTTAATTGACCAATCAGAGCAGAGCGGGAGCAAAGTGTCTTTGTCCTGATTGGTCGATTAAAAGTTACTGCACTCTACAGATAAGATTTTTGAATGTACTCCAATCGTCTTGTCGAACGTTCGATTTCCAACTCGAGATTCGAGATTAGAAATATGACGCGATTCTTTAATTGACGTTATCGATGGATCTCGAGATTTGCGTGAGTTCAAAGTTTGAAATTTCTATATGCAAACGTAATTACGAAAAGGAAATAACATCACGTTGAATGTGCAGTGATAAGTGATAAAACGGTACGTAATAATTGCATTTAATTTTAAAACGGAATAAAAACTGATATAATATAAAAACAGAGTAAATATATAATGCATGAAAATCATTACAATATACATATATATATATGAGCTATGAACGAACTTGTTTATATATCAAATAAAATTACATTGTCTTATTTCATTTTTTTTTATTAATTTTAATGCTAAAGTTAATAGTTAATTTCATGTAGAAAAAGAAATGAACAGATCTCTTAATCAAATATTTCTTTAGATCTATTTTAACATTTTTATAAGAAATACTATAACAAACTTTATCTATTTCTCAGGATGTATCAGGACTTCTAGAAGAATTACAATATTTTATCCTGTATTGTTCCCGCCTTGTGACTTCATTCGGATTTCTAAAAATCTGCTGAGATTTTGTTGTCGATCTGACAGTCGGATTATGGAAATTTGTATTCGTCGATTGAACACAGGACACTGGATGTAATTCAACGGCAGAATAAATATGAGGTAAGAAAATAAATCGTAAATCTCTTGCAAACGTATTATTTCTGCGCATAAGAAAAATAAAGTCAGTTAAATAAAGTCAGTTAAAATAAAATCAATAAAAATTATTAAAAACATCTTAGAAATACTCTCTCTTTTTTTTCATTTTAATCATCTTTTAAAAGAAACAGATAAAATGTGACGCGATTTCTTATCTTGAAAAATCAATCTTTCTCTTATCAATATTTTACTCTTCAATTCATCGATAATTTCATAATATTTTACATATTAACATTTTGTTAATTTTTCTATATTAAATGATGTTAAAAGTATAATTCATTATTACGCTATCATATTTATCGAAGTAAAAATTATAATTTGGCATAAATTCCGGCATATTTTGGCTTTTCCGTTATTTGAAAAATTATAAATATTTCGCAGAAACAGATTTTTAGAAAAGAATCATGTTACTTTACATGATTCTTTTCTAAAACATGATATGTAATATATGATTATCAAATGACATTTATTTCATAAATTATACTTAAAAAAACATTCGAAATATAAAATTTCATATGCAATAAAACAATATAATATCAAAATATTGTAATACAAGATGATTAAAGAGATATATAGCAAAATATAAAAACAGAATTAATTTATGTATCTGTTTTGGTACAATAAATTTGACATAATGATTTGATAACATAATAATTTATACATTTATATATTTGATCATATAATGAAATTCTCAATTTCTGAAACTGACAATAAGAAGGGGACTTTTTCTTATCACCATTGCAAATTTATTTATAATACAATAATATCGAGTGTCTACTACGATTACTAGCAATTCAATTTTGCAAATCGGTTCATAAAAAATTTTATGACTAAAAAACTTATCTTTTAAAGAATAGCTAAATGTAATTTGTGAGATCGCAAATATAATTTAGCAAGAAGATGCAATGCTGTTAACAAAATTTTGAACGGCTGCACTGTGATATTTTATTGTTCATATTTATAATGTATAATAATTGGTGATAATAATTTATTCATGTTTAGCTTGTAGATGATAATGCACTATTCATAGTTTTTTACTCTTAAGGTATCAGTAAAAATAGTAATTCATGAAAATTATTATTTTATTAATAATATTATTATAAGCTTTATAAATATGTGTAGTTTTTATTTTGATTAGTTCTGGGATCATCGATCATTTATTTTCGATTAATTTATTGGTAGTATATTTTGAGAGTAAAAAATTCCGTCATTTTGCGTTTTTCACGCCATCGCCATGAATTTGCGTATTGATAGTTAATATAATTATTACTACATGTGTGTGTATGCGCATATATGTATGCAGTTCTCTTAGATATATTATGACATAATAATTGAGGATGATAAAAGTAAAACTACAATTTTGTATTTGATTTCATATTGGTCTTCCATTCGCTCTTTCTTTCATATCTCGCTTTTTTTTTTCTCGTATACAAAATAAGTATAGTAAAATCTTCAATTGTTCGGCTTGAAGGTCGTGTACTGCGGCAGCTTTTCACTCTTGTAATAGGGCTTCAACGTTGCTAAGCGATCGGGTTTGAGAAACAGCTGCTCCCCCTGCACAATTTCCATCTTAGGATCTTAACATATCTTGGTATCTCGTAAATTTCAATTTGCCTCAACTTACTATATTTTATGGAACAATTTCAATCTCGGATATTTATTACTAATTACAAGTATTTGTCTTTCATAAAGAATTTATCCATTTATGTAAAGAATTTATTTTTAAACTGTTCTAAAAATTTATTCATGTCTTTAAAAAAATGAAAAATTGTTTCTAGAATCATCTGTAATACATACATTTTTATTTTTTTTAAATATGGATTTAAGATATTTTAGTAATAAACTCTTCATTTGCGTTAGTAGCATCAAAATGCGTAATAATTAGATAATACATATATTTCAACATGAATTTTACATAAAATCTGTATATTTGAAAATAACGAAATATTAGTATACAGATATAATATATATTTTATATATGTTTTTAATATATATGGGATTTTATAGAAGGTTAATGCAGATTTAATACGAATGCAGAGGGATGAACTAGCACGAATTGCTATCATAATTCTACAGAGATTATTACTTGGCAGTCAGGGATAAAAACTAGCATGGGTGCAATCTGTGCAAATCTAAACGTGTCCCAAACGTGGCACGCGAGGACATAAAGTTGTCTTAAGAAGGGTCGGTCGTTCTACTCTCCTGACATCACAGGTGCCAAATAGGTCAGACTAAATCCAGCATCACATAAATAAATAAAAACGTACATTTTAAATCACATACATACAAATGCTAATAAAATGCTAATATTTATTTATATTTATTTTTATAAGAATTACGATAAGTAATTTTTATGATGACAAATAAATAATTATGATTGTAATTTTATATGCGAGATTTGACGTCAACGATATATTAATAACATTATATAATAAAAATTAATTTTTTTCACGTAATAATAAATGTATAAAAAAGGATCATGATTTGAAAAATTGACTTAAAAAATTTCGTCGTATTTCGTAATCGGGATTAGGAGAAATATGTATGTTGGACACGATGACAAATAATAATTACATACGCATATATATATATATATATGATCACTTTTTAATGATGACAACTTTATACACGAAAGAGAACTCCTCGAAACTATTCTTTTTTTATACGCCATACAATAAAGTGTCCCATATCATTAATCCGATTACAAAGTCGATGGTATTCGCTTCGGATTTAATTAATGACGATGGCAATAACCAGGAGATACAATATAGCTAATCTTATTAGGACGATCGAGGTAACGGCAAACATCGTGCGTCGTATTTGAGATAAGGATGAAAGTAATGTCAGTGGGTGGTTTCTCTGTACATATAATCTCGTAAAGTGTGCAGGGTACATACAAAATGCAACTCCGGCATGCTCACTCGTTGGTCGACACACTCTGAAACGATCTGTACAGTTTGGTTCCCCGTTTTTCGAGAGTCCCTCTCGAACGGATAAATTATTCGCGTATACGATTACTATACAAATGCGAATCAAATCACTGTCAGCTGTTAGCTGTTTAAACTACTCTTTGTAACAGCGATGTAAAAGCACACTGTATATGTCGCGAACGTGAAGGTGGACGATTACATCGCTGTTAACATCAAACTTTCATTGATTGGACGACGATTCGTACGTCAGGATCATGATCTAAACGGATATATGTATATGTGTATGTACATATGCACTTATAATATATTTAATGAGATAGCAATATATATCGTCGTTAAATTGTAATGAGCATAGTTTTGACTAATTAATATCTATCATACAAACATTCTTCAATATGGTCTCCGACGGTTCTTTTACAATGTTTATTAACATTACAAGTACACGATGTCAACGATCAGATAAAAAAAATGCGTTTGTATAATATTTGCTAATAAAAAAAAATGCATTTGTATAATGATATTTACTAATCGCGTCTACAGCTTTTTCTTTTTTAAAGAGAGCAGTGAGTATGGCAGTAATAAATTTCGTGGCAGTATGGCAGTAATAAATTTCGTGTAATTAATTACAACTATCTTCTTACAATTGTTATATGTTTTCGAGACAATTTGATTATCTCGATGCGCAATAAACTTTTAAACAATCCAATAGAGATTGCGTTTGGTACACATTAAAGCGTATAACGTGTATACTATACATATTATATTATATATCTGCACGTTGGTCGTGTGTCGGAAACACACAAATACAATATTTTATTTATATATAAAGTCTTTGACGTTTTTTTCCGACAAGAAATAAAAATTCGCGCTTTACGTTTTTTTGCTTTTTTCTGGATTTAACATATTCTATTTCTCGTTCTGTAAAAAGAATTTTTCCTGCGCCAAGATTGCTCGCTTATTGATCAATTAATAGATGTATGAGAAAAGTGTATTTATTTATTTGCTAGTCGCTCGATTTTTTTCTCTTTTTAAAATGGGCAATATTGGATAGGACAGTAATGAATTCCGCGTAATTAATTATATAATTATTTTCTCACAACTATTGTACGTTTTTCGAAATGATTGGATGATCTCGCAGCGCAATGAACTTTTGAACAATCCAATAGAGATTGCATTTGATACACATTAAAGCATATAATCGCGTGTATCTACATATTATATATCTGCACATAAATCGCGTTGTCGTAAACACACAAATACAATATATTTTATTTATTATATAAAATCTTTGATATCCTTCTAACAAAAAAAATTCACATTCCTCGTTTTTTAATTCTTTTCAATCCGATTTATAACACATTCCATTTCTCATTCTATAGAAGGAATTTTTCCTATGTCAAGATTGTTTGCTCACTGATTAATTAATAGGTATGTAGGAAAAATCCATTTATTGATATTTTCTAATCGCGCCTTTAATTTTAACCTTTTTAACAAGGGCAGTATTGGACACGGCAGTGTGAAATTTCGCGTAACAATTAATTACAACTATTGTTGTACGTTTTCGAAAGGATTGGATGTTCTCGTTGCGCGATCGGTCGTCCGTCATCAAGTGCTGCTACTTAAAGCGTAAATTCGGCGATCTCGGCCGAGTTCAGTCTTACGTTCTTGAATCCCGCAGGACGCGCGGCTGCAGAGAATACGCTCCTTTCTAGAGGGAAGCGAAATCAAAATAACACGGAATGAGCTATTCGCGCGAAAAATGAGCCAACTCGGGCGAATCGATAGGAATTCTGTTTAAGATTAAGCGTTTCAATCTAAGCGAAGCGAATTCCATTCAATTCAGCTTAATTCGATTATTTTTTTTTTTTACAAAAATAAGGAACGATGCGCTCTGTTTGGATGGGAAGACACGCGTTTAATCGGCAGGAAGGGATAGGCGGAATTATCATCGACACGCTCTACTTATGTACATCTATCTAAATTAAATTACAAACAAGGACACAGCGGTAATTGGTTGAGGGACACCTAGGAACTAGATGCAACCAAATGCATGCGTAATGCACCCTACCGAACGCATAAATCACTCAAGCGACTATCGCGATTGTAGAACATGATACGTTCGATACTTGCGCGAGCAGCGCGTGTCGCTGCATAAGTATTGTAATTTAATGTAGACTCGTCTAAAAACTTCTCTAATGGATAATGTCGTCCCAATATAATCGCATAGTTACGTTATATAACGATCGTAACATTGTAATAAACTTTTATGCGCGTAAAATCGCGAGCGAGAATGATGTATCTCATTTCTTAGCATCATTTCCTCAGCAAAACGGACCAACAAATTTTTGGACGACATAGTAGAATGCGTTTGGTACATAATTATATAATAATGTGTGTCTATATTTTTACATCTTCACGTTGGTCGTGTATATCGGGAGAAAGAATAAATACGCAATCTTTTTATTTATATATAAAACCTTCAAGATCTTTCCGGGAGAAAAGGTGGAAAGTTTGTGCTCCTCGTTCCTTGCCTTTTTTAATCCGATTTAGCGTGTCCCGTTCTTCGTCCTGTAGAAGGAATTTTTCCTGCGCCAAGATTGCTCGCTCATTGATTCAATTAATGGATGAATATACGGACGTGCGGGGCGCGTCAACGTTTTAAGCAAATCATCAATGTTAGATATTTTCTCTCATTTTATTTGACGAGCCCCCAAAAAGCAAATGGTTCAAATATTAATACGATAGTCACCGACAAACAATCCGATGAATTAACCGGCAGAAATAGATATTAATATCAATCCGTTAACTATGTTAGTTAAATCGTTGCGCTTAATCCGAACGTTTCGCATTCAGGTCAAGTTGCATGCACTTGCAGTTTTGTTTTCGCGAATGCATCGATTAAATTTGAACGCGCGTGCTTTGATCAGGTGGCTATTTTCGAGCGAGTGCAAAGTGAGCAAGCAGTTGAAAAAGAATATTGTTTAAAGCGGAATAACTAATGACTAGTGTCGTGTTGGTCGGTGACACGGCAAAATCGAGGGAAAACGAATTCTATGATATAGTTAATGTACGCTGTGCACTAACGAGAGCGAGTAGAGTTTTGCGTAAAAAAGAGACGTATAAATACAAATGTAAATGTAAATAAATGTAAATACTTTACATAGAAAGATGAAAAAATGCATCTTTTACTACTTATGAGAATAAAGTTATTTAGTAGAACATTATATCACTACAAAACATTGTAAAACCAATATTTTTATGATGAAAAATTCACTTTTTGATTTACATTCAATATAATTTTCATACACGATAATCTTGCTTCTACCGTAATTGTACTTTTTCTAATATAATTGTATAGTAAAACAATACAGAAAATAATATAAAATATATAATATATATATAATATATACAATATTGCATTGAAAAGTCAAAGTACAGTGTTAAAAAAAAGCTTGCCGTACAAAACTCTACAATCGCAACAACTAAAATCGCAGTAACTAATTTCAAACATATTCAAAGGAATCGTGTCGGAAACTTGCTTTCGAAAATGCAATTCAGAGGCAGCAGAGTGATAAATAATTAAATAAAGAAAGAGAAAGAGAAAAGAAAAAAGACGGGAAAAAATAACGCGAGAAGCACGCCAGATTTTAATTATGCGAGAGTAGTTCGTTTTTTTTCTCTCTATCTTATTTAAAACTTATCTGACCTGCAATGTGTATTGTCCATGAGGCTGTCCATGATGATGATGCCTCTGATAATGTTGCTGTTGATGTTGGTCGTGCTGATAGCACTCCTGCTGATATTGCTGCGATGGGACGGGTTTCAGAACGTGATTGGCTCGCTTCTCCGGAACGAACTGCTGACTCGTACGTTCCATCGTATCCACTGCCAAACGTGGATCCTCTATCATAGCGTTGGAGGCCTTTGTACTGTAGAAACGGCTGATATATTATTCTGGTTTCGTTTCATTAGAGATACTTTGTTGTATACGCCCCCGCGCGATACACGCGAGAAAATGTTTTTTTCAGATAATTCATTTAAAAAAGTTCTATAAGATTCATTTAGCTTGTGTGAAAAGAAATTTAAATTTATTAAAATCTAAAAAAGTGCGAAAAGAGAGAAGATGCTTTTATAAATCTTTTCTTCTTCTCAAAGTATTCTTTTTTTTGGAGAAAAACGAGAAATATAAAAGAGCTAGAAAAATTTCCCCGTCCGTTTGAAAAATACATACGTTTTTGCTAAAATCTCGTATCACTGCGTATGCAAATTCGTAGATATACTCTAGCACAGCTCTGTTCAAATGTACACAATATTGGAGCATCGCACGTGATCCACGGCGGCGTCTACTCGTCTATAAATCACCGCACAGCGCAATATCGCGTGCTTACCAATGCACTTGCTGCAATGCCGGTACTGTGTTTCTGGCTACGCAGCATCTATCCGAACGTAGGAAACAAACGAATCCCATTATCAGCACCGAGAGCACTGTGAATCCAGCTACCGCGCCGATAACGAGGGGGATCTGCGGGAGAGAAGAATATTCTATGTGCGCCGAGAAACATTTTCGCGCGGACATTTGTGTAATACACATATATAATACGTGAAAAAATTATAAATATTTTTTTTAGAATTTATACAATTATAATAATATAAATTTACAAATTCTCTTTATATTTTACTTTGTGAGAATTTTATTAATGGAAGTTAATTTCTACGAGATTTTTATTAACGTAAATATATATATTTTTTATTTTGTTTACAAAAAGAGTTTTTCCTTTAGACGATATTGAAAAACATCTTTTCGCGTGAATGTTCGTATAATACACGCACAGTATGTGATTTATGAAAATTAATATTTTTTACAATTTATTTGTGCATTATATGTCACAATTATGTAATAATAATATCAATTTACAGGCTCTTTTTAATTTTATTTCGTAGGAATTTTGTTAATGCAAATTAATAAAATTGTACGAGATTTGTAAGAATACATATATTTTTTATATATTAATTTGTTTACGAGAAAATATTTATCTTTTAAATGATATTGAAGACGTCTTTTATATAAATAAATTATAATTAAAATATTACAATTGTATGTGCACATTTGTATGAGTGCGTCCGTTCATGCACGCATGTACATATGTAACGTTTACCTGGCCGGGCTCATCGACTTTCAGCATGAGCGCTCGTCTGTCACTGCCACGATCGTTCTCCACGATAACGTGATATAGCCTTTGATCCTCTTTTACCGTACTTGTCAACTCTAAGATCGCTATGTAACAATCCTCCGAAGCCAGCGGCTCCAGATCAAGCGCGCGATAACGCGGTTCCAGAACTTCACCTGTCGATAATAGAACGAATCCATGCATCTCTCGACAATTTGTATTCTTCCGTTTCTACGAACAACTGAAATAAAATTTCGCAAAATAATAGACACTCAATACATATAAGAAATGATAGAAAATTAATAAATAATAAAAATCAAATCAATGAAGCATTAAAAAAAACAAAAAAGATAAATAATATTAATAAAAGATGAAAAATAATTTCAAATATACACGAGATATAAAGATTCCTAAATATTATATACAGTTTATGATAGTGTAGGCAATTACTCGGGCGCGAAGACCCATATTAACAGAAATTAATTAATCAACTGGCATCTTGAGTAACGATAGGCGGAAAAAATTTCACGGCGCGAGTAGAGTGCATCAATTTGGTCTTGCGGAAATTGGACGGATGTCTCAAGACCGAAACGATCTCGTAGCTCGTATTACGGGCGAATAATCAATTAACCAGGAAGTAATTGCGACTGTGCAACGACGAGAGATCGTTGATAAAGTACTCACGGTGAAGTGCCAATTATACTGAGAAGTACAAGGGAAAAAATGTGTACGAAGGAGCAATCCCAGAGAAAAACTCGAGTGCTTTTTTTCACTGGTTCAACGAAGGTGTAGGAAAGTTTAACGGCGAGTATAGTTTCGGGAAAAGCATAAGAAAAAAAGAAAGAGAAGAAAACATTAATAATGAACACATGGTTTGTAATATTCGAAACTCGCAGTAAAGTTTATACGTTAACGATTCGTTAGATGAGGTGATGGGAGTTTCGTTTCGCGAAAACACATAACGAAGGAAGAATTCGAAGCAAAGTTGCGTGATGGCCGAGGGATGAAAGTCAAAGCAAAACAAAATAAAATCGAGTCAGCTCGTCCTCATGGTCGTAATAATTTTACATGCCAACAACGTGCTTCGAAAGCGGTATCTCTTTCACATACATTGTCCATGTGTGGCTCGTGTTTACCGAGACGTTTACAAAGATAAAGAGCGTGGCTATCGTTTGCGGCTAGCTCGCGTGGTGAGCAATCTAGAGCACTATTGTAGAATAGTAAAACAAAGTAGCCAGGAGGTCAATGTTCCCTTAAACTCTAATAGAAAGTTTCCGCTGGTCGACCTATTAATTCATTGACCTCATGTTTCGAATGTTTTTTTACTCGAGCACGATGTAAATGCATCTATCGCTATACATATAATAACTTTTGTTCATTATTTTTTAATTTTATAAAAGCTGGATTAACTCTTTTACAATTCTACTTTAATGTGAATTCGGTATAACTTGTATTTCCATGTGTTTTTTTAAACAATTTCGGTTAATAAATTATATCTTCAACATACCTCCTTTTTACATATCTTCAACATACCTCCTTTTTACATATCTTCTTAAAAAATAACTCAAATAATAGAAATTGATAATATATAAAATGTTAAGCTGTTATGGGAATATATGAAATATGTTGAAACAACCATAAGACAAGAAGTAAAAATATAACTTCAAGTTGATCCAATTGTCTAAATTAAATGCTACGTATATATTTTAAAGAAGTTCGATTCTCCCTATTATTATGCTTTTCCAATGATCTACGCTACCTTATTGTCTCTCGATGCTGAATTTCCTTAAACAGAAGATAAAAAGGAAAGAAAAAAGATCAAACTAAAGACGAAATCGAATACTTCTTGCGATAGTTTAAGACAAACAGTCTCTAACCGGCGTGCAGTCTGGTGCTACCCCATTCCCAGGCCACGAGCCGCGGCTTCGGGTCGGAGCACAGTCTGATCTCTAATCTGGCCGGGCTACCCTCCGTCGTTACGACGACGAACTTCTCTGTGATGGCCGGCTTCACCACCTGCGACACATGTTTAACATCCTTTGAATGGAAAGTTCGTTCGTTGCTGCGGCCTTCCCTCCCTTTTCCTTCCTATCCCTTTCATCAAACGTCGAACGTAAACGCTACGAAATCGCCCCCTGTTAACCGATCTCACGGTGTGCCTTTTTGCGAACAAAATGTATTTTAGACTTTGTACTATATCAAAACTCTAATGGAATACGACATATTAGTAAAAAATAAATAATGGCTTATTATCGAAAAAAAATCTAATATACTTTATATAAATGTTTGATACGTCGACAAATACACGATTAATCAATAATGCGGAGTAGTATTTATGACGAAAATTGAAACAATGCAATTCTTTTTATCTCGCCAATATCTCGCAACCTTCATAAAAGAGACATTATCGGGAAAAATGGTAACGACTCGATGAAAATTGCGACTTAAATTAGGTGCGAATAACTAAACATTCGATACGAAAGCGAAATGATATTTCATTCACAGACGGAGAATCCCGCTGTGAATACAATTTTCCATCGTGAAAAGAACGCTGTGATTTATGATGCGCGTATTATAGCTCAATTCAATGCAATATTGTGCTGTGTTATCGTGAAATAAAAATATTATAAAATGCACATTTCTTGCTGTGGATAATTCATCGAAATAAATAAATAATTTGTATTCATTTCTGCTTATATTTCAAAATTCTCTGTTTCATCAATCGCAAATATATATATATATATATATACATATATTTATTTATTTATTTTCACAATATTTATAACAACGAAAATATGTCGCATTTACATACATAATTAAAACATTGATTTGATTGTATTATACGTAAATCAACGCGTTTCAGATTGATTTTCAAGTACCGTGCGTATAAAATAAATCGTATAACAAAAATTTCGTGATTATTCCTTCCAATATATAATACATGATATTTGACTCTCGAGGTGGATACGTAATATAACACAAATCGTATATATGCGCAACGCTAAAATCAATTTGGGCGAGATATCGACATTAATAGCATTGCTGAACAGATGAAACAGCTTCGTATTAAATGAAACGGAAATCAAACCTTTGCGTAGCCAGTGACCTGCATTAAGTCGCGTGCGATATGCCGATAGGCAAATTGAATAAAGAGAAAAAAGAAAAAATATCGCAATATATCAAGGTTTTTTTCACTTCCGTTATCGGCGTTATTAATCGAGTAATTAACTGTTAGCTACTGAACAGAGTTGAATTGCGAAACACTATAATATCATAATAATTGCAACATATAACTCAATCTTTGCCTACATGCGTTACTGTTATAGTATTTATACATTTTATTTACAACATTGCAACATTTACCTCGAACATAGATAAAAAATCAATTAATGCCGAATATGCTCTGATGAATTAAGCACAATGGAAATTTATTTAAAAACTTGTTACAACGATTATGCTCGTATTTATATACCTGTTATATGCGAACGCATTCAAATGAACCTTTCCCAATTAATCGTTATTACAGTTATTTTCACATATTCAAGTAGAATAAAAACAAGTTTGCATCTACGTAACATATAGAGGCATTTTTTTGAGAGAAACAATATGGCTTGTTACAATTAACCAAGGTATCGATTTTTAATATCGTGTACAATGCACAATAAAACTTGATGGCGGCTTATTGTTGACAAAAACTTACAAAGCATACCGTCATTAAAAATGTGTTTGATATAACATGTATATATATACACTTGATATACTTATATACTAGTATATATACTGCCAAAAATTTTACCGTAATTATTAGAAATCGATGCATAGAATTAAAATTGCAATAATAAACGATATTGTAGAATATATTAACTTTGAATTATGATCAGAATAACGTATATACATAAAAATATCATATAATATGTATAATGGAACAATTTTAATTTACTTAATTCACTTACAAATTTACTTATCTCTTTAAATAATCAATTATTTTTCAATCTTTCTTTTAGCGCGAAATTATTGCCGTTAACGCAATCTAAATTTATCTCGGTATATTGTTTCTCTATACACGAAATAATGAAGCAAAATGGGATTAATGCACAAGCACAACGTTTCTGTTTCGTTATGCAAACTACATCCTATTAATTCTCTTCGATATTGCATCCGGCAAATTTTCAAAATTGAACGACAGAAAGGAAAATATGTATTCGCGGTATGCATCTTGTCCCAGCCCCCGCACACGCAAGAGATATTCGGTGATTTTGCAAAGTAATGAAGCGATATTTTTTCGCGAGATCCATCGGAAACGGTTATTCGTCAACGTCGATTTCCCTCCCGGTAATTCTGATTTGTAGCAAAACTTTCTCAAAAAAAGCATTCCGCGTCATCTTACCCGTGGAGCGCCAACCACTTGCAGAGACACAGGGTCGCTTTTAACTTCCCTGATGTTGCCATTGATCTTGTTGGAGGCGAGACATATATATTGACCCTGTTGCTCGTACGTCACGTTCGTCAGGATCAATCGTTGACCTGTTCCGCATTCCAATGGCATTCGGCCGTCCGTGAATATCTGCGCCCATCTATACACGCGCGACCGCACCGATCGAGAAATTTGTAGATTAAAGGCAGTCTGAGATCTGAATTTGCCATTCACCGATAGAAATATGTGATAACAAAAAGACATAAAGAAATGTAAGAAAGAAATTTATAAAGTCTCTACAGGAAAGTAAGAAGTGAGAAACGTCAAAGTTATAAGCTGTGAATTTTCTAATGAAAAAAGCAAATCAAGATTGTTGAAAATTTTCTGCACAACAATTAATATAACACAAAATATATTATATCTGCATATTCCTACAATATAAAATAAATATCATAATTCGATGTGTTAATAGCAAACATATTACTTCAAATAATATCCTTTATATAAAAAATTTACAATACATTCAGATAATTACATTATCGATGCGCGCATAAATATGCAGAATATAAAAAAGATGAAAAAATCAAGTAATCAATTTAAATCACCTGTACTCAGCTGGCGGCATCGCATCTGCTTGACATTCGAATGACGCACCAGAATACAACAATGCAGTTGTCAATCGATCTGGTCCAACTGCGGTGATCATCGGTGGATCTGTGAAAAATCAACTTATTCTGGGATTGAGAAATGAATTTACGAATAAAAAGTTTTACAGATAACAGTTTCTAGTAATTCTAATCCTGTATCTTTTAAGAATTACATCGATATACATACATATATACGTATAAGAACGTAAATCAAAATCATTTCACAAAATAATCAGAGAAATGACAAAATTTATAGCATACAAATTGTCAATAGTTGCACAAAAAAATTTTGAATTGCAAATCGAGTAAAGATGACGAATTAGAATAACGAGATAGCAGCGGCACACGTACAGTTTACAGACACTTGGACCGAGATTGGACTGCTTTCCCCCTCGGTGTTCGACGCTTCGCAGAGATAAACGGCGGCGTGATTTCTGTAAATTGGGGAGAACATCAGGGTCGCCCCGATACTGGCTACCTCGGTCACGCCAGGGCTCTTCGTTTTCCTCCAGAGTATCGCAGCCGGTGGGTTAGCGTCGGCGAGACATCGGATTTCCAGTTGATCGCGGCCCTCCTCGAGCTGGCCGGTTGGGACGCCGACTAATCTCGTCTCTGGCGCGTCTAAATTCATGCGAGACGGGCAGTTAATCACGAGATCACCCTAATTGCCTCACACACATGAGAGAGTATGTATATATTATAATATATTATAATATATCATAGAATGTCTCTTTCTCTCTCTCTCTCTCTCGATCATTATGTGCTGTATATATAAAATCTAGCAAACAAATTCGTTTAATTTCAAAAACCGATACACAGAAAATGTATGTATAAAAATAAAATTTTTAAATGTATTTATAAAAATAAAAGTTTTATTTCGAAACAAGTTTATTTTAAATTGAGAAATTTTTATTATTATCGAATTACACTATTGTTTTTTTTTATTATTATCCAATTTAAATATTTTCCCAGTGTTACATATTTTTTTTATTTCGAGAATGATAAATGAAGAGAAACAAACCACAATAGCGTTAAAGATATTTCTAAAATTATGATTTAACATCAAATGATTTGCGCGAATATTACGACTAATGATTTTAATATGATAATGTCAGCGATAATGCGAGCGATGCTGCTCCTTCAGAAGTAAACTGGTTATCTATCTTCAACGGATCGAAATAAAAAGCGAGAGTAAGAGCGTAACAATTTTAATAAGAGCAGCATGGAAATTACGTATAATTATCCTAGAAAAGCTCCTTCATATTCATGTCTCTTGGTAAACAAGAGGAATTTAACATAAATGCGGTCGAGAAAATGGGTCCCATCATCGTTACCGGTTTTAATCATCACTAGAATCACCAGTCGCAGTGTGCGGGAGACCGTGAAAGATAAACATTAGGTACAGAAAACAAACGCGGCCCGCGGCATAAAGTTTTCAGGTTAAACCGCTCTTATTAACGAGCTCGTAATTAAAATCAAGATCCACATTCAGAAGTACTTGCTACTCGATATCTTTAAGAATAAAATTTTCATTTAGCATTATATATCAAATCTCGCAATAATAATAATTTCGATAACCGATCTCTCGAGATTGAGAAATAAAAGTAGAAAGATCGTAAATTAAAAAATGAAATATATGACTGATAATTTGAAACGTAATTTATATTTTGTCTTATGTGTTTTCTTTTTTTCATACACTTCTGATATTTACTGTCATTGCTTGATGGTATAATATTCCTTCAAATAAGTTTATAATTTTTATACAATTTCTACCTAACAGATTTTATGCTATAATTGTGTGCCTTGGAATTTAAACAAATCGCTCTTTTACCTCTTTTCCTATCCATCATTTCTTCTTTCAAATAGCTGTTCATCCGAGAAAGCATCTTGATCGCTATTTATATCAAACAAAGATGTCGCCGCTAAGATGAATGTTTCGATTTAAGGAGAAATTAAATTACGCGAACGCGGTCAGTCGTACTACTGCTGTTTTCCCGATGGACTAAGCAAGCCGGAAATACTGCGCTGACTTTGGTTTCGCGTATAACTGATGGTACCCGGTGGACACGGTGGAAAAAGCGCGTGCTCAGGTCACGCGGTAATTACCTTCTTCGAATAATTAATTAATCACTGTGAAATATAAATTTCATGAAATATAACGCAAGAACTTATTGCCGTTGCAGTTCGTATGATTTTTTGATAAGTGATCAATTATTTGTTATAATTTATAATTCTGTTTTCGAGAAAGAAATAAACTAAATAAATGAGTTAGTATTATGCTTGAGAATTCATTGCATTTATACACTTGTGTATGCCATACATAGATTTTTCGTTTACTTTATATGAGATATGCAATGGTATAATGCAATGAATAAATCTTTTCCCTTTAATTTGCGGAGCGTAATTTTGATCTCTTCGATAATACACGAGCCATAATTTCAGCTGATTTTGATGGAAAACTGGCAGAGTCAGGGTATCCTGTTCACCGAATGATGACGTAATTTTTGTTTATTTACTCGATATTTATTTAATTTATCGCTGGTATAAACCAGAGCCAATTTTCATCAACAAACCGGTTTCGTTTCCATATTCATGTAATAGATCATCGTCGCAACCATTAAAAAAGTTAAACGCTATTACGTTCAATAAATTACATTATGGTACATCCAACGAGATGAGCTAAAAACATAAAAACGTAAAATTGAGTTAATCCGCATCATATTGAGGATTAATAATATATCTTTTTAGAGCCTACAACAATAAAGGCACCTATCATAAAAGAATAAAAAAATTCCCTACTGTTCGTAATCAATACTTATTTTGAGAGATTTCTTTTAATTTAAATTGTGCATTACATGTATATTTTTATTATTTGAGCAAAATACATTTAATACATTTCTTTCTAAATTTCTCTTTCAATTGCAAATAATGTTTAAATTAATTCCCGTTAAATTAAAACACAATTAATTAATTAGTGCTTTTATATAAAAAATAATTATCGCGATAGAGGAAATTAATTACAACAAGCAATCATAATAGAAATTGAGTAAAATCTACAATAGTCAGATATTCCCAAAATAAAACAAAGAGAAAAACTATTTAAATAATCGTAATAAAATAGTATGTATATTGAAATAAATCCTATATGTATTAAAGAACATATATACATAAAAATTTTGTATAATGAAAAAGCCATGGAGCCATTTATATACAAATTTATATATAAATTCTTTTTATTACCGCTTTTTCTTGTACGATTATGCAAGTTTGAATTTAATAAATTCTGTTTAATATAATTTAATATAATATAATTTCATTTAGTAACTTTTAGTAAACATTGGACGGCATAACCATACTCGTTACATTTTCATGAAAACTAAGTACATGGAAAGTAAGAGAAATAACGCGAAATGCAAATCAAAATGGATAAGCCTAAAAAATTTCAGTTTTATTTATCTAAAAATATTTTTTTTAAGAAATTTTTGTTTTCAAAATTTATATTCAGCTTTAATCGGAAAATATTTAATATTTAGATGTTATAAAACTATGATGAGATAAAATGTTAATTTCACATTTTCTATAAGAAAAAAAAACTTTATCACAAAATCAATCCTTAAAATTAATATTCATGTTTCGAGACATTCTCAATTGAGAATGTCATTATCAAAATATTTTAAATTATTGAGTTCCAACAAACCACAGATCCTCTCGAAATTTTCTCTAAAATTCCACTGTATAAATAAATTTATTAAATAATCTAATTATTAAAAATATTATCATTGTAATATTTTACAATATAATTGTATATTGTCACTATTTAAATATTTAATTTTGCGTAAATGTATTTATGTTAGCCGTTATTTATCGTGTCACTAATTTATCATTTCCAATTAGTTGTAAAATCCATCGAATTCAAATGTGAGGGGAAAAAAGGATCGAAATATAAAAAAAAAATGTTTCTTTTGTTTATAAATAAATTTTGTTCGATATATATACGTATATCAAATTAAAAAATTAAAATTTTGAGATTTTCTTGCTTTATTATTCATATTGTCATTTTCACTGTTTGCCCCAATTAAAACCCTACGGTATGCAATTGAAAGCTGTGCGGTAGAAATCAAACGCTTATTGAATATTTATGAAGTATTCAAGTTCGAATATCCTATACAAATTATGTACACCGGCTGGAGCTATTAATACTACTGATTTTACAAAGGGCGAGAATTTTTCGAAAAATTTTTCCTAAACTCAATTACCTAATGTATACCCTCCTATGCGTTTTATGCGTTACGCCGAAATATCGATTATTCGAAAAATCTTTTATTCAGTCGACGGTTTCCTTTCTCTGACGTTATTTCCATATCCCCGTTCACGTCATTGTTTGAAGTTTACTCAAGAAATGACTGAGAATTACGGGCGAACGAATAACACTCGTTCACAAGCGCCAGCTGTGCGTTAAAATGCTGCATCCATACTAGATTTACGCATCGCAGAGTCGTTGCGTGAGAGAATTTTTAAAGGGATCATTTCTCTAACAAATTTTCTATAAAAATTTATAAAAGTATAAAAGAGTGTTGAATATATAAAAGTATTTTGAAAATACACGTATAGAAGTATAATAAGAAAAAAAGATGAAAATTAATTATAACTTGCAACAGACTAAAAGCCATTAAAGTTAAATAATAAATTATAATAAAATATGATAAAATGTAATAATGGAAAAAATTATATATTCAGTAATTGTGATTTTTAAAACCTTATTTTCTTCTACATTTTTTTACATGTTTTTCTTAATTTATTTTATTAATCTTTTCATACTATTTTCTATTTTTTTATAAAAATTCGGGTAATTTTTGTAGCAAAATTATTTTAATTATAATGGATAAATGGAATTATAATATTTATGTTAGCAAGACGAAAAATAACATCAACTTTTTTTATCATTTTATCTTATAATGGATACAAAAATTAGTCATATGTGAAATAGTAAAAATAGTCATATGAAGATTTTAAAATAGATAAAAAAAGTTACACAGTTCTTTTTGATAAAGCATCTGCGCTGCGAAGGATTAAAGTTTGATCCTATTATAGTAGTCTGCAGCAATTTAACGACAAACTGTGAACTATATCCGCGAAACTATCGCGAGCTGCAAGAGGAAGTGATGACGTGCAGCTATTTTGGGGATGATAGTTTTCAGAAAGCCAAAGCCACGCGATTCGAATGGTTCAACGAGTGCCTATTCGACCAAATTTCGGCCAGTCGTTTCTTGGATAAACTTCAAACGGCTCTATTTTTACGAAATGAAAGTGACGCGATGGGGGAATGAAAGAGACAAAAGCGCTAAAGTTATGTCTTTCATTGTACGTGTCATAAAATGGAAAAATCGATGATATAGTTTGAATTTATCTCGCGAAAGATTTTACACAAAAATCATAAAAATTTAAAATTGGAAAAAACTATCTCTCTCTAACAGTCTCTTATAATTCCAACGATTAAATGGTTGATTAGATTTATTTGCGCAGCAAATAAATGAGAATTTTCCGCAACGCAGAATTATTATTCGCGCAACAAGAATTAATAATCACATAATCGCGATAGAGGAGTATTATATAAATATGCTTTTATCCCCAGCTTTCGTTACTTGGACCATGCGAAAGCTTATTCGAAAAACACGCTGACCGAAATATGGCCGAGCTACTGACCTATCCGCATCGGCTTACGCTCTCTGAAAACTGCATCGAATGCACAGAATGAATGCACCCTCTCGTTAGCGCGGATAAAACCTCCCTCGACTCGCGATCGAAGTGGCACGAAATATATCGGTGCTTTGAGGCTGAACTTTTCAATTTGCGCTGAAAAGTCCCGTTCTAATCCCGGACTAATGCTCGTAATCAATACATATGCGCGCAAACAAACGTATGCATAACGAATGTACAGGATGGGCACGCAAGTCTCGTCCTCGAGAGGATCGCGATGAGACTCAGGATCAAATTTGCGACGGAAATTATAAATTACGGAGCCCGAAATTGGATCAAGGAGGATGGGAAGGGGAAAAATGATGTTGTTGGAGATGATATTAGGAATGGTAACGGGCGAATCAATTTTTGACGTCACCAGATGCTTGATCGAAATTACACGCCTCGATAAAGCACATCGGATACGTTTAACTCGCGAACGGCTGATATATTTCCGACCGCAACTATCGCGACAAACTCATTTATCATCAACGTGCATAAATCACTAGAAATATTTTTGTAAGAAATTATATTTTATAATAAAAAACAAATCGGTAAAAGGATAGAAATAACAGCGTAATACATTCTACAAATTTATAATTTGATATGTAGCCTTTGAAAAGGATAAAATAATGTTTTTCGATAATTAACATAAATTAGTGACATCACTTATTTAGTGCAACTAAAGTGATTTTACCATAATGACTATACTGATCGTATGTTTGAGTATTATCAGCAAATTGAAAATTTGTCAATATGTACATATAGAAGCTTTAGTAGTTTATTTACAATGCATTGAGCTTTACGCGAAAGGACGCGAGCCTTTTAATCTATAACAAGCGTATATACATACATATGCCCGCGTTGCTTTCTCATTTCGTTCGCTAAATTAATTTGTGGCACGGAGAGAGAGAGAGAAGCTGAAATGTGTACGAGACTCAAATGCAATCTGGTTAACGTATTAATTATCGTATCGAAACTGTTGGCTAATTAATATTATGTAACATTGAATTTAACAGATTCGATTTCCAAATTTCTAGAAGAAATTCCCGAAATTATTTTAATAAATAATTATACAAATTTCGTTTACAAATCGCAAACTGGATTTAATAAGATACTTCTGTAATATTAGACGGTAACATTAACATTTTAATAGTTTGTTTTTCTTCAAACAATTCAATTATCATGTTACTGTAAATTAATAAGCGAATCGTATATAAGCGGCGATTATCCTATTAAATCATATAACGGTGTATATCATAAAATCAACATAATGATTCAAAGGCTAGTAACAAGCTTATTTATACCGCTATCGAAAATGCGGTTCGATTGTAGTTGTACAACGATACCGGCCGTGAAGCTAAAATCAATACTCATTTGGCCGCTGTCTGCCGCAGCACAGTTTCGCAAAAAGCGTTAAAATCTGCCTGAACGTTCCAACTGGGCATCGAATTGTTGATAAGGTTAAAACGCATGACATCACGACGTACTGATTTGAGGGAGATTGATGAGAGAGAAAGGGAGAGAAAACTCGCGGTTTTCCGCCGCACGTACGCACATGTGTATGTATATATGTGTGTGTACGCGTATGTATATGTGTACTAGGTTAAATCAGTGTATTGTTGAGGATGGTCAGAGATGCGAAGCGATTTGAGGTCAGTGTGTTATACGGCCAGACCGCGTGATCGGTGATTTTTTTGTCGAATCGTTTTCCATGATCGGACGTTTTACCGGCGAATTGTTTTTTCGCAATTCGTGTGAAAAGCGTACATAGCGATAGTCGCTTGCCTAACTTTTTATCAAATGCATTTTTGCACTGATAATACGGTGGAAGAATATCGATACCTTGCAACTTATCCTTATTTTGTAAAAAATATATCTGAGCACGTGACATTGTTCTTTTATTTGTAAACCACGTAATGGATAGCGTCACGATAGTGATGTACCTTAGTCAAGATCAATATAAAAATCAAATATAAATCATTCTATAGAATACAAACGAAAATAAATGATAATGGATATTTATTTAATAATTCTACAATTATAAAGGTATGATTAGATATTCGGTTATCGATTCTTGATTTATTGAATAGTTCTTTCATTTCTGTTCGAAAAGAAATTATAATTGTAGCAAATATATATATTATTTATATATTGTAAATTTAAGCAAAATTTTAGCAAAATTTAAATATTGAATAATTTAAAATATTAATTTAAAAAATATATATTTTTCTTTTAAACATATATTTTTTAAATAATTTTTGAAAAAATAATTTTTTTATATTGGATGAAAAGGTTGCAACGTAATCACTACTTGTAAACTGCAAAATTACATTGCATTTTATGTTGGCCTTTCTGCTATTATTAAATATGATATTATATTCTGTATCAAAAATAATTCTATATATCTGTAGTTTGATATAAAAAAAATTGAGAATATTTCAAAAAATCCGATCACGCGAGCTAAATATGACCGCAAACGACATTGGTGCAAATCTGATCGAAAGTTTTTCATTATGATCAGAAATATATTTCTAGGCGTGCAGATGGCGGCTGAGAAAGAAGGAAAGTTTCAGCGTCGTATATTTCCTCCCTTCTTCCGCCGTTTCCATTATGCATACAACATACTTGATGGTACGACTGTGCAAAAAAAAAGAAGCGAGGCACAACCTTAATCTCGACTTACCGCTCTGTTCTTCTTTGCGCATTTTATATTTCGAAGGGTATATTTCGAATAAAGCAGCTTTTCTCGCAAATATAGATAGATATGATCGAGCAGCGTTTGATTTTACGTTACAAATATTTGTTATACAGTGGCATGTTTTCGAAATCTACCGCGTATCTAGAGCGAGGTACATTTACGTTCTTTTACAATGGGAAATGCAGTTTGTTAATTTAATATCAATGTCACATTTAGCGCGAATGTTCAAAGTTGTACGAAGTAATACGAGCGAACATTTGACAGAGAATTCATTACGATCAGAATTATTGTGTATTATTACCTGCTTTCAGATGCAGATATCGGAGAAATATAATTATTACTAATTATACCATACATATACATACACAATACGTATCCTATATATTACACTCTCTTTCTATATTATATCATAAGCAATCAAAATTTTGTATTAATATACATTTTGTATACGACTAAATTCTCCAATTAACAGCATCCATTAGGAGCACTTAATAAGCTATTATAATCCAGAGACAACGATTGTTGTCATCGATCGTAATCAATTATAAACTCGTCTATTCAGGCATAAACTTTGCGGAGGATTATGCTATAGCAACTAAGACCTACTTTTGTACTATAGAGAAAATCTAGTACACCAAACGATGATTCTACTTATATTACGCGTCATCGAATATTAACAATGTATGTACATATATCGTCCAATAACGTCACTTATGATGACAATCATTATTAATCGCATAATCTTGCCATGTTAATTTGATATTATATTGATATTATATTTAATATTACATTGATTTGACGCATGAAATGTTAGAGAGAGATTCAGTTTCATTACTAAAAGTTAATTACCAATTGTGAAAGAAGATTTAATTCGTCTGCTGAAAATGTAGCTAATTAAAAATGTAAATAATATCTATTTTAGATATCTGTAGCCTAGATAGTAAAAAGTAACTTTCATCCAGACTGATGTTCTCGTATTTATTTTTATGATCGTTATATTTCTTTATATTAGGATATTTAAGCATCGAATCTATTTTCCCTTCTATTAACTTAAGGATCTAGTGAATTCTTTTACGGAGCTTTACGAGAGGAAATTAAGTCTGTACTCACATCGCACGTCGAACCTCACTTCGGTGCTGGACGACATGGTAGGATTAGCGTACGCCGGATGGATGGCAACGCATCTGATCGGCTGGCCGTAACGTGATCGCTCAGCCAGAATCTCGCAAACACTGTAGGTCGCCCAAGTGCGCGGATTATCTAACTCGGTCGAGTTTACCTGAGGCCGCAACGTCCTCAGCTCGGTCTCGCCCACGTACCTGCATATCGCCCGGAAAATTTGCATTTCCAATGGCTGTTCTGCAACAACTCTTACTCGCTCCCCTTCAACATTCTCCCCTCCTCGTCAGCCTCTTCTTCGGGCCGCGCGCGACTCGCTCTGTCTTACGCGCACGTTCCCCGTTGACGTCACTCTCTTCCGGTTCCGACCTTTTCTCTCTCTCTCTCTTCCTTCTCGTTTCCCAAGCCTTCCTACCTACCTAGGCTCATCGTCGCAGATTATTCCAAGTCTCGCTCTGATAAACGAGGGCACTCTCGTAAATTGAGCCTCTCTCGGTGCTCAGTTATTATAATAATAATGCAAAAACATTATGTCTGAGCTATTTCTTATGGATTCTTGAGCAAATCTGATAATCCGCGAAAATAAAAGAGAGGGAATCGATATATACATATTTAATTCCCGGCCGCCATCCACTTGAAAATCTTTTTACGTCAAAGTTTAGCACGAGTTGAAAATTAATTTCGGCGAGTGTTTACGTTACTCGAATCATAGCGACTTTCTATCCTATCCATCTTTTTGTCCTCCATATATCTCTTTTCGATTTGTAAAAGCATTCAAAATGCCATATATCCGTATCGGCTACAACAACAGAAATATAATGCGAAATGTAACAAATGTTTGCAATCATATAATTTGCAATGTCAGTGCAATAATTGAAACAGATATTTCACATGTGCATTGAATAAAATTAAAATAAATATCGTTATTTATATATTTTGGAAAATATCTCATATTCTTTTAATGTTTTTAAATGTTACTTTATCGAAATAAAATTTTTAGACCACAAAATTGAAAAAATAAAATAAAAATATAGTCTTAAAATTGAAAAAATAAAATAATAATCTAATCTTTATATATGTGACGAACGAAAAAAATTTTAAATCAAGGTTCCCAATGTCTGTTGCATATGTGTCACGCTATTTGCTGTCCCAGGGTTAAATACAAGAAAGAGAAACATGCGGATGATTAGTCGAGATATTTGCTGGGTCGGTTAGAAAATGTTTTTTTAACAATAACAAGCTGTCCGATACGCGTGAAAGAATGTTTCAAAGCGAGACATTTCGAGCGTAATATAACAAAGAATTAAATAACGACGATACTGCGGAGAACGTAACAATAACGATAACGATAATGACATAATAATCACCACGATAGCCGTCTCGTGTATCTTCGTTTTTTTATTAATGTCTCGAGACATTTCGAGCGTAATATAACAAAGAATTAAATAACGATACTGCGGAGGACGTAACAATAACGATAACGATAATGACATAATAATCACGATAGTCATCTCGTTCGTCGACGATTGTGTTCTTGGGATGAACACTCGCCGTCGATTGTGCAGCGATCTCTCACGACCTCTATGCTCCCGTCATAATTAACACGTTTATGCATACTCATATTCTGCATCGTACTGCGTATGTCAATTAGGATAATTCCCAGTGAGTAAGTGGATAAGCGAGAGAGCCCTGAGGACTGAGGCAGCCGGAGAACGGTCGCCTTGTCAAGGGATCTCGTCTACAATTTGGAACGTGGCTCGACGCCCCACGGATGTCGTTCCGCTAACCGAAAATTGCAGGTTTAAAGCCGACAGAGAACGACAGATACACACATAATTTGTCTCTTCTCCTTTGTCGCGGCGTTCGTTTTTGTTTCGTCGTAAAACTACTAAAACCCTTTACCTTCTCCAAGTGCTCGAAAATGACAAGTCGAGAGTCACACGATCCCGGAATCTATAAGAGAATTTCGCGATTCGCTTTCTCGTTGTTACGTGAGACTCGCGTCTGATATTTTCTCGTCGTATCGCACGAAATGCATCATGTAGCTCCTTAATTTCGTGCAGGCACGAATGCGGAATGGATCATGATTATTCATGAAGCGCATGTTCTGCTATCGACAGCGTTCTTGATGCATTACGTGGAATCTTCGAGCAACGGGAACAAGCCCAAAGCTTCAACGAAGGAGAGGCGTGCCGATGTTAAAAGATGCCATAAAATCGATAATGACTTGCATATCTTGATCTAACAATAAGACGTGGGGCATCGTTCGCGCGATCGAGCCCGAAATTTATTAAATTAATTAAATGGTTTCGTACAAAATAACATTACAAAAAAGTACATTCGTTCGAAAATAAATCTTAGATGCTCCTCGTAAACAAATCCTCGTAATAGATCAAAATTACAAGCGCTTCAACCGATTATTTCGCACCGTACAGATTCTCATTCCTTTCCCCTTATTACCGATATATCCTAATTAATTCGCAGACTCATAAGCCTGAAATTGCCGAATAATTACGCTAGCTACGAGCGAGCAAACGAGCGGAAGGAACGTGACGACGAAGACGGGGAACGAGGGCGAGACGGCGAGCGAGCGAGACACGCGAAGCGAGAGATCGCGCGCGCGCGCCGAACAAGAGGTTCGGCGGCGCACAAGTTAAGTAGTACGGAATCTACGTGCAACAATTACGAACCATTTAATTAGAGGCGAAGGATTCCCATACCGCGCTCTGCATGTGAGCGTAGCGATCTCACCTGCTCGGGCTGTCACGTTGCTGCCTGGGAGAATTAGACGGTCGGTGTACTCTATCTGCGGTCGCTGAGGGCTGACTGGAATGAGAAAATTAGCACGGATTAATCCCGTATGCCTTCGCTCGTGCCATATGCGCTCGTATACCATGTCCTAAGAAACCAAATACCAATTGAATACTCTTTTAATTTTTTTCAAAATTAAAATCGCCGCGCGACGTAATGAGATCTTGAAATATCATAAAGCTTATAATAATTATTTTTTTCTAATAATTATTAATAATTATTTTTTCGCAAAAATTCATTTATGTCGAGTATAAATCATGATATCGCAAAAAAAAAGAAATTTACGCGATCGAATTTTAATTATGTATGAAATAAAAATATCGAGATGCTTAGATTGTCGGTCACTATAAACGTGCAATTGATTACTGCGAGACGTAAAGATTAAAAAAAGAGACGCGGAGATTTTCATCCCCCTGCGCCGTGACAAACTTCATTTCCACGGCGCAGAAATAAATCCCGTTGCTTCATTGTTAATTGTATCGTGAGATTACCGAGTGAATGTAACCATCGAGAGAGTCGGGACGATTTTACACGGCTAATCGGACTATATTCGGTGTAATGTACTATTCCCGGACGAGAGATATTAATCTGCTATAAATATCGCTCGCCGATAAAAAAAAAACGCGAAACACATTCCGCGAGATATGACACCGTAATTCCGAGAGTAGCGATAATGAGAAAGTTTGCGAGCGAATCTACGCGAGTATTCATTGTGTTACGCGATTTATTTCGATACGCGCCTAGCAATCGTGCCGGCCGTTTCATTAAACGCGCGAAATCAATTATCTTGCTATCGACTACTAATGCGAAAAAACAAGCTGGCTCGACTCAATCAATGGGATTTGATTTCTCAACTTCGTATCGAATTACTTAGTTATTATTCTGTTGCATAATATAATATAATACATTGGATGCAACATTATCGATATTGCTCTCGAAATGCTTCTCTGTCTTTATTGATGTTATTGAAACAATAGCCGAGAATCATGAATATCATACGATATTTAGAGAACATTGTCAAAACTTTTTTTTTTGCTAATAAGAGGACGATTTATATAGCTCGAAAGCGATTAATAGACATATTTGTCTAACATTTACCTCTGACGACCAGCTTCGCTGGTTCGGATGCTAACGCGTCCTGCGTCGTGAAATCACTTGCGGTTACTTGACATTGCCAAAGCCCGTCATCGAACTCTAAGGTCGCCGATCTCACCCACAACGAGCAGTCGCCCATGTCTGGCGAGCCCACCCATTCGTATTTTTTCAGGTGCATACCTATCGGCTAAATAAAGAGAACAGAATATTTAGAGAGAGAAATCATATATATCATTATAATATCATTTTTACATATATTTAATTTTGTATATATACAGGGTGATAAAATTATTTTAATTTTGTATATATACAGAGTGAAAAAACTAAGTGCCATAAATTTGTGATGAAAGAAAGGACGAATACAAGCATTTTAAGTATAGGAACCATGGGTCGGCGATGTTTCATTACGACGTGACGGACGTTTAATTGAATCGTCACAATGTCTGTGATGCAATGATTTTATTCCGTCAATTATATTTACCATAAATGTTCAAAGTTACGACCTCCAACGTTCCGACAAAAGTTACAGCGACGGAGCAATGACTGCCGCATTCTTTGGAATATTTCAGGCATGTGTCGGATGGTTTCAGATGCCTCCACGATGCGAGCGACCAGATCCTCCTCGGATTCGATTTGTTCGGAATAAATCATAGTTTTCAGCATCTTCAGAGGTAACAAACGAATGGTAAACAAACGAGGGGCAAACAACCAAACTTACGTTACTTTCATTGCAGGAGTTGTGACGATTCAATTAAACGCCCGTGACCCATGGTTTCTATACTTAAAATGCTTGTATTTGTCCTTTTTTTCATCACACAAATTTATGGCTCTTAGTTTTTTATCACCCTGTATATATATCTCTTTTTCCTCGAAAGGAGAATTTTATATTTACATTCTTCATGATTTGATTCTAATAATTTCATACATAAAGCAACAAGAATCAATTTTTGCATAAATTTTAAAAATAAATATATAATTTGACCTAAAGATCAACATACACATACGATATTTTACGTACACGAAACACTCGCAATCTGAGATTAATAAATCTCGCAAGATTAATAGAAGAAGAGGAGTTAATTTTTGCCGATAAATTTCCTAAAGTCCTATACGATGGTCCACGCACGTCAGCACATTTTTAAATCGACGAATCTGACCTATGACAATCGCTTCTCATTGCTCGAATCCTCTTTCCGTACATCCTTTTCACTCCCAGCTCAGCTTTACGTCGGTTGTACCGTACGCTTCCTCCGAAATGAATCATCGGCTTCCGGCTCCCATCGTCGATGTCATTCGATTCTTCTTTCTCGCGAATTAATTTCGCTGCCGCCAGAAAAGTGCAGGTTTAGCAAGTTTCGCAGTCATAACGCGATTGTAATTCAGCGATCGATTCTGCATCCACGATCGCTCTTTAATTCCCCTTACTTTTCACCTTAAAATAGTCTTTCCTTCTCCGCGAAATCGAGAAAGCTTTCTCTTGTTCCTCTTCTCGAAACTTTGATTAAAAATTTCTGTAGCAATCCAAAGTTATTGATTATCTCGAGACACTTTGTATCAGTTTGTATAAATTGATCTTATTTATTTTACTTGCATATATTGCTATTTTGATATTTTTATTACTTATATATATAATTAATTGTTTTACTGTTAAAACTCGATGATACTTCTGTGCTTTTTTTGCTTAAACGTGATAATAAATTAAATTTCTCCCTTCTCTCTCTCGGTCTTCCATTCTTTTCTTTCATCCAGCTTCGCGCGATACGTTATCGCGACGGCTATTATATACATCGTCGGCGTATCGGTCGAGGCCGGATTGTTCTATCTGTAAGTTTGTGGTAGCTTTAGTACGTGTAGCGAAAAAGCTTCGTTTAAAAGGTATTACTTGGTTAACGAGTTTCCGTAATCCGCCGGCGGTCCACTGTCTTGAATTAGCACCGTCGCGCTCGCCTGTGTATTGTTGGTGAAGATATTAAGTTCGCTACAAACTGCTTCTTTGTTCTCATTAAATCAGCCCGATCCATGAAAAATTATAATGATATATTCAAGAGGCTGTCTTCTCTTTTGCCTGTTTTATTTTTTATAGCTTCGACTCAAAGATTAGTTTATTATCCAATTTTATAATCCCATATGTATCCAATATAAAGTTACAAATTATTTAATCCAACTGAGAATTAAAAAATTCTTTTTAAAATTTTAACCATTGACAGTGCGTTTATTTTTCCATTTTTTTTTCTTTTCTTTTCGAAAAAAGTGACAGTATTATAGTTAGAATATTTCATAAGAAACCTTGTAATTATGTCTATTTCGTCAAAAATATTCACGATTCATTCTCATCGCTTTTTTTTTGGCATAAAAATGTTACGCCACTTGTAATACTGTGAATCCAGGAATCCAAGATCCTTTTTATGAAGAATTCTCGCGAGAGATGATCGCGCTTTGAAACGGACGAGTGCTTAACTTCGGTTTCCTCCAGGGACGCAATGAGAGCTACGTTAACTACGATAGGACGCCGTCGTGCGACTATATTAGTAATGAGCGGAGAGGTATTCCCCGCGGAATGCGCAGTTTATCACCCGGTGGCAGACACAATAATACAATGGCGAAATCCTGACGAAGATTATTCGCGCGTAGACGAAGAGCCCTCAGGACAAGAAGAATAATGAGTTTACTGGCGCGCGTTCATGCCCGCTGGTGTTCGGGTGAAACGACGTCTAGTATATATTATCAGTACGAATTAACGTCTTAGGTCATTGTCGGGTTAATATCTCATATCATATCACCCTCGAGTAACTGCCTTTTCATTCCACCGTATTACAAAGTGTCCATAAATTGTCACGAACATTCGCAGTTAACTCTCAAGATATTCTTGGAACGCATAAACTTGTCTCAAAGTCGATTATAATAATATTATTCGTCTCGAGATTATCGAACCTCCATTTAAAATATAGAGAATAAATCATCTCTCGATGCATTTTTTGCAACGATAAGAATTATTCAAAATCAAAAGACACGACGATAAAGAATTAATAACGATAGAATTAATAATCTCACAATTTTTTTTCGTCAGAGAATAGAAAGGATCATGTCTCTCGTTTCCTCCAGGATTCCTCGCGTCGGAGTAACGCAAGATTTATACCTAAGTTATCCAGAATTCCCGAGCGCACGCTTCGTCGTCCATGTCCATGAAGAGGCACACGCATACTAACTTTTCCGATATCCCAGGAAACTAACCAAGCTGCCGCAAATCAGTCCAAACACACATTCGCGAAGGGTACCATCGCTCTTACAGCGGAACAAGCCGCGAGGCACTTTTCGAATGCGCAATGAGTAGAAGACGTCGTTTCTCCCGGTTGAATCTTTTCCTCCCTCCTCCTCCCGTCTCCTATTCAATAATTCCACAAATTTTCGCAAACACACAAAGACGACGAAGAAGCATCTGTGCGCGAGAAATTTCGAGCCGCGTTCGAGTTGCGAACTTTTCGACGCTTATCACAAGGATACATATCGACGAGTAAGAACTTATGGTAACACTTCCGAAGGAAGTTTCGGAAGAAAAAGAAAAGTAAGAGTACTTGGTTACCGCAATGCTTTTTCGCTATCGGTCTACGTCCCACGATCTATTTCGTTGCTCTCGAAGAGATTGCCATTGCGTCTGCATTACTGCGGGCCTCGCTTGTGCTACGGTAGCCTTTGGCCCAGGGATATGTACCCTTAGCCGTTTGCCTTGATATGCGACGTATTTGTGTTCGTATCACGCAGACAGAGGTATCTATGTCTGTGTGCGCCGATAGGGACGAGGGCAGGGCAGGGGTGTGTCTGCGGGTGCATTACGTTGATTGCTGGTCGCGGCCTCTCCGGAGAACACAGAGAACAGCGAAGAGGGCGGTAAAGCGGGATGGTTGAAGAGGGTAGGGAGTGAGGGCACAAAGACGGCCGAGAAACGGCATGAAGAAAGAAAAAGGGACCCTTCCTTTCTCGGGTAAGTAAGCGAACGGTGCGCCACATCCCAGGCGCCCGTGAATTTTAATCCTTTCAATGAACAATGGCGACTTCTGCGAGCAGTTTCTCTCGTGCAATGTATCCGTTTTTAATTCTCTCGTTTCCGTGAAGGATATCTCCGATGAAGTCGACTGCCTGCTTTATTCGTTTGCAGTTTTAGTAACACTGTTAATAATATTGATAATAGCCTATTTATAATAGCCTTCGCATATATTTTCTGTAAATACTTGATAATATGTATTTTCTATGTATTTTTTTAATATTCTAATTTTAGTGAAAGTATTTTTGGCCAGAGTATTATTTCAAATAAATTGGAAATCTCAGATGTATGCGTTGACGAAAAATAGTTAACGAACAAATTAAATATTTGCAATTTGAGAAAAAACTATTGATTAACATTTTAGATATTTTATTAAAAAGTGCGATTTTCAAACAATGCGCCTTGAAGAAGATTTACAAGTCAAAATTATTTTGGTATTTCAATAAAACAGATACAATGCATCCAGCGCTATTCGCAGAAAATGCGCAGAATGAAACAAGCGGAAATAACGTGGTTAGAAGCTCCAGGAGAAGCTCCTGAAGAACAGAAAGAGAGAGAAAGGTGTTGTAAACAAAAGTAGCTTCCAAAGAGAAAATTATCCCGCTTGTTATTTACATCTTTCATAAATATTCACTTTTGCGGGAGAAAGTTGAGGAAAGAGACGGGAGGGTAACAAGCTGAGGAGAGGGAAAGAAGGCGAAAGAAAAGTCGAGGGGAGGATATTTGGCTGAGGAAGAAACGAGAAACCGTGCAGGGCATAAATCTCCGGGCTTTCGGAGGATCTCGTTTCAGGATCACCCACTGCGAAAAGCCTTCGTCGCTGCCTGAGACAGTAATGCGATATTCAAGTTCCAGGCCGCCTCTCACCGCCCATCGTCCCGGCGACCACCCTTAACGGAGTCTGAGGAGCATTGGACGATATTTGCATTGTTGTCACCGGAAGTGGAGCCTCGCTCAGTCAAAAATTTCGAAGCATTCTGCATCTAAAAAGCTTCTATTTCCATAAAACGGTCCGATATATAGAAAATTATCGAAGACAATTTCGCAAATAAAATGCACTTTAACGCAAAAACGCAAGTTATTTCTCCAGAATAATTATTTTAAAAAAATTGCACAATATACAAATTTATTCCAATCAATTTTATCTC